CATGGGGATGCAATTCTGATCAAGGAAGCTTGGAGGACGGCGCGACAGGAAATTTTGATCACTGCAGACGGACACATGTTTGCAGGGTCTGGCAGAGACAACCGATCGCATGGAGTCGCAAATCTTATGCTTAAGCGCTGGAGCAAACACGTATGTAAGTTCCAGGCCATCTCTGCAAGACTCGCAACGGTCACAATCACAAAGGGGGAAACCAGACTACAATTGATATCGGCATACTTCCCGCATACAGGATACACAGACCACCACATCCAGCAGCTGTACGACACCACCAGCGCTCTACTCCGCGAGGCACGCTCCCGACGCATGCGCACAATCGTGGGTGCCGACTTCAACGCTCAAGTTGGCTGCGGTCCTCTTCATGGCGATGCCGACTCTGGAGAACAGCGACCTGACGTTTGCTCTCGATACGTGGGCCCCCACGGCTTTGGCGACGAAAATTCCAGAGGCCAATGGTTACGACACTGGGCCACTAACGAGCGGCTTGCAATCGTAAACACGTTCTTCTGCAAGCCTCATGACAAGCTGATTACCTACACTACAACGGGTGGCAAACCTAGGCAGTATGATTACATATTGGTGGACAGATGCTTACTACCAGCATTGTGGAATGCCGAATCCAGCAACATTGTTGATCTCAACTCTGACCACAAAGCCGTATCATTAGACATGCGCTTAGCTGCCTCGATACGCCCGTTTTGATACGCAACACGTGTCGTGCTCAAAACGTCCGTGTCAATACGGTGCGTGTTGGCTCTACGTATTGGACCACGTTTTGGCGAATGTGTCGCGTCGGACCTGCGTTTTCAGCCTACGTGTTGAGCTCCGTCTCGATACAGCACGTGCTGCCTGTTGCGTATCGGGGCAGCTAAGCACATGCGTCTCAAATTGTTACCACCCAGTGCAAAAAAACAGTCAGCACGCCCGAGGCCGACCAGACGTTCCACCAACCAACAATGGGAGCACACGGACCCCGACGAGTACCGAAGGCAATTGAGAGCCAAGCTACAGGGCGACCGTCTACCTCCTGATCCAAACGACCTCAACGACGCCATCGAGCAAGGCCTAAACAATACCGTGCTACGCAGCACGACCAACGGGCAGACGCGACCACCCACAGCGGCGACCGACACCGGCAGAAGCGACGAGCCAGGCCGCAACCGTGGCGACATCAACACCCACCTCGTGAACCAGCGCAAGGGCATTCCAAGGGCAGACACGACCAGAAGACGAACGATTAGCAAAGAAATGCAAAAACACATCCGACAACAAAAGCGCAACAAAAGGAGACAGCAGATAAGCATCATTCTGGAGCAGCACAGAGACCTCAAACGCATCAGTACCATCAAAACGAGACGAAAACGAACTCTGATCACAGAGATGCATGGGAGCGACGGTACCAAGCACATTACCCGCCAAGGGATCGCCAACGCATTCGCGAACTTCTACGAGGAGCTGTACAATTCCACCAGCACCCGCGATACACCACCAACCACGAGCGACATCCAGAGCCGCATCCCACCCTTCACGGCCGAAGAGCTCAAAGCAGCAATCTCGCAGCTCAAGACTGGCAAGTCACACGACGACGTAGGAATCAAGGCCGAAATGCTCAAAAACCCACGCCGGGAACTACAACATGCCTTGTTACAGTTGTACAACGCGGTCATCCAGCCAAACGCCCCGACTCCAGCAAGCTGGTGGAAGACTGTGATTTACAGTCATTCCCAAATCGGGTGATCTCTCTCTCTCTCTCTCTCCCGCAAAACTATCGCCCAACATGTATTATACCCATGCTCTACAAGCTGTTCAGCCGCCTGCTATGCAACCGGCTTTCACAAGTACTTGATCAACACCAGCCCGACGACCAAGCGGGTTTCCGACCTGGGCGCGGCACGCGCGACCACCTCTTCACACTTAACATCTTGCGGGAATGGGCTTCTGAATGGAACCCGGTTCTGTGGATCGGAGCAGTAGATTTCAAAAAAGCATTCAACACAGTGGAGCATGACAGCTTCTGGGCAACACTGCGTCACCAGGGCGTGTCGCCCGACTACGTCCACTTACTCCAACGCCTCTACCACGACCAACAGGCCGTAGTACGCACCGACTCCACGAGTAAGCCGTTCAAACTACGACGCGGCACGAAGCAAGGAGACCCTTTAAGTTCCTTGCTCTTCAACGCCCTTCTACAGCACGTTCTAGCACCACTCATTCCGGAAGGCAGCGACGACGAAGAGGAATCCAATTGGCGCACGCCAGCCAATCTGTTCTCATCAGCCTCCGCTTCGCCGACGACATTTTGCTAGTTAGCCAAACGCGACCCAACCTGAGGACTCTACTAGCAGACTTGGTCACAGCAGCGAAACCACACGGCCTCGAAATACACCCGACCAAAACAACAATCATTACCAACCAAACCAAGACCTGGACTCGGTCTACCAGCGTCGCAAACATGGACATTACAATAACGCCTCACGCTGGGAAGTTGACATACCTCGGCCAGACGATTACATTCCAAGATGCCGCGGCGACCGAGATCCAACACAGGATTCAAGCTGCGTGGGCATGCTTCACAGTCCACAGACAAGAACTGACGAGCAAGCACTACCCACTCAAACACAGGCTCAGGCTTTACCGAGGCACCGTCATTCCCACGACGACATACGACGCGCAAGCGCGGACCTTGACAGAGCCACTCCGACAACAGCCACGCCGCACTCAACGACGGATGGTTCGGGCGATCATCGGAACTCCGAGAAGGCGCACAAACGTCACCTTACGAACGCACGCCGCACCAACAGCAGACAGCCACAGCAACCACGTCGCAGACAGCGTCCACCCTGACGACTCCAGCGACCACGACGCATCCAGCACCCCCCCCTCCCCATCATAACAGACCAGCTCACAAGAAGACAACAGTGACGCACGCCAGACCCACGAGCAGGCGACAGATGAAAACGAGCTGTGGTCGGACTTCATCCGCCGGAGCACACGCAGGGCTGAGGAGCTCATGAGCAAGCACGACATCCCCGACATAGTACAGATACATCGCGCAAAAGTCTGGCGTTGGGCCGCACTCGTTTCAAGCCCTCCGCAGAACCGATGGACACACAGTGTGTTGAATTGGAACCCCAGCCTCGACGCAAAACCGCAAGGCCACCGGCTGCAAGGAGGCCAAAAGAAAATATGGGACGACGACGTGAGGAAGTTTTTGGCAAGCCTGCACGCGAACACCAGGGACGAAGCCACGGACAGCGACACCAACGACGCCATCCATCCACGACGATATCTCCACTACGGCTGTAACGACGCGAAATGGTTGACAGCCGCGACAGACACCACATGGTGGGACTCTCTTGAGAGCGCTTTCGTTGCATACAACAGCTGAGGGCGCAAACTCCCCGACGCCAGTTGCACCAATAACTTTTCCTGACCTCCAGCGTCGACGCCAAATGACCACCACCACCAGCACAACAACACCGAATATACAGGAACACCGACCACACCACCGATGATGATATATGCCGTGGATGGGGCAATTCTGGTGTCAAAACGGTGATGGTAAAACGGTGATGGTGATTGGAACCGTTTTGGCCGACAAAGACACGGAACCACTGGAATTCCTAAATGAGATTTCTACCCCTGACGGTTCCAATCAACCGATAACATCGACATTAAAACAGCGACGCCGACAGCGATACCGACGGCAACACCAACAGCAACGCAGCAGCGACACCGGCATACAGCACCGACTACCGACGACCATCAACAGGAGTAGCCACGACACCGACCACGCCGACTCGATCCTGACCAGGTTCATGAACATCCGACATCTTCTGTCACGCCTTCTACTTCTCCCGGCTCGCACGCATATCGTTCCTTGCCTGGTTTGTGCAGTGGTTCCTGAGGAACTTCGTCCACGACGTCTATTCGGACACGATCTGGGGCCACGGCTTCTTGCGCCCTGCCCGAAAGGGCACGGGCACACCTGTGTTCCCGACTCTGGCGCCCTCGCCCTCGCCTCGCCTCGCCTCTTGGCCGCCCCCGACAGAGGGGGGTAGGGGGAGAAGGGGGAAGGCTTCTTAGAAGGAGGCTGCTTCTGGGAAGGCGCTGGCCATACATCTACGGACAGGGCCCGCGCCTTCTACTAAGAAGCAGGGGTGCCTCTGAGAAGCCCTCACCCCTTCCCCCTACCCCCCCCTGCGCGCCGCCAAGAGGGGACTTGGGACGGGCGGCTGTTGCATCCCCACTCCTCCGTTTCGGTTCTCTCGGGCCTGGAAGGTTCTCGGTGAGGCCCGCAGTTGATTGAGCGTGCGTTTGGGCCAAAAGCCTTCGGGCGTCACCAAGAACACGCCCAGACCACGCGGAAAACCTTCCTCCTGCTTGTCCTCCCCCCTTTCCATTGAGACGCTACTTTCGAGCCAGAGTGGGGTGAGTCTGTGGCGCAGCCTAGCTCGGAGATGCCTACTTCCCAACGTATAGCATACTTGCGAGTTGTGGGGGGTCGCGGTCCACGGTCTTCCATTTCTTCTTCTACCTATCCGAAACCGACCGCGGCGATAAGGTCTCGTATCATGAAGCCTCCAGCTTGCGAAGAGGCGCAGCTGGCGGAAAACACCCCGTGGACCTGGAGCCTGTGGGAGCCGCTTGAAGCCTCCCAACCCCCCCGAGAGTTCCCGTCGAAGAGGAGGAGGAGGAGGAGGTCTTCGTTCCTTGGGGCCCGGGCGTCCTTATGACGTCCTTGCCGATGTCGTCTCGTCGCCGTCGCCGCCCCTGACATCGAGCGTTTTCTGTTGGACTTGTGGACCCCCAGACCTGTCGACCCCTTCCCCGGGGTTGCTTCTTCATCCGGGGTAGTTCCTTCGTTGCACCGAGGCCCGAACCGAGCCTCCAGAGGCCAAAAATGGCAACATGTTTGCCGCCTCGATGGTTTCAAGATGCCAGATGTCCCGGGCAGCCGTCGGGGCCCTGGGCGCGCCGAGGTATGGGCTGGTGCGGCTCCCCGAGGATCGGGGGCCAGAGCTGGAGAC